TGGCAGGTGCTTCCTGGGCCTTGTAGTACCAGGCATCTGTCTCAGACAGATAAATGGCTGTTGCCAGGCTCTAAGCTTACAGAGTTTTATCACGTGGACATTATAGCTGAGGTGATGCCAGGTTCAGTAAAAAGTTTTACAGGCTGCTGTGTGAAGCAGCCAGGCCATGGCATTGGGGGCTTGAGGGTTGCTTGTTGACCCAATTTTATTGTTTTCTCAGAGGTCTGTTGTGTCCCCCAATAAAGAATGTGAGGAAAATGAAATTGTATACTCACCATGAAATCCTTTCATCCTGTGGTTTATTGGGGTACACAGATCCCACTCATTATTTTGGTGGGTTTTTCTGTCTGTTGGGGATATTGTTTTAGTTAAGAAAGTGTTTTTTGGATGTTCATGTTGTTCTACTGTTACTATTTTGATGCTTGTTACTCATGGGCTTACTCAGTATGTGTGGGGTTATAGCCATTAAAGGAGAACTATGAGGTAAGTGCTTTTCACTCACCTCATAGTTCTAGCCGACCTTATGACAATGAGACTGTCACAGGTCGGCTCAGTAGATCGGGAGGTGAGCGAACACATACCGGCGTTCGCTCACCTCTCGACCCTGTCACGACTCTCTTCTGTGACAGGGGAGGGGCTGGATTCCCCGCTCCGATCCACCAGCGCTGACTGGCGGAACGGACGCGGGAGGGGGCGGTTACAGCTAGCTCTGCCTCTAGATAGGCAGCAAGCTATCAATGACGCAGCTGGGCAGATCCAGACATAATTGTCGGGATCCGCTTCAGCTGCGGCGTCTCAGTATACCGCGAGCAGTAGCTAGTTTGTGTCCTCCCGTTACCCTAAGGAGAACTATGGGGAAAAGCCTTAACCCCATAGTTCTCCTTTAAGAAGAGCTGTGCCTTTTTTGGTTCCTAATGTCCAACCTCCTAGGGGGAGAAAACATTTACCCAGGGGTCTGCTGTGTCCAGAGGTCTGCAGAGGTAAGTAAAGAATTACATTTTTTGTAAATGATTTACATCCAAATGCAGGAATGTTGTAGAATATTGCGACAAGCATTACCCAGTTAATGCTAGTGCCTCACAAATGTGCTGTCTCTGCT